CTGTAATGAATGGGTTAAAATAATGCTAAACTCCTGAATGGAAAAAGAGACATTTCATTATGATCTACCCATCTCTCTATCCTATGGACATACAGAATAGACAGTGGACAGGAGAGAGCTCTGTTAGATCACCTACTCCATCATCCAGCCAACACAGGATTATTCCTTAAAATATACATCAGCACTTCAAAATAAACAGTACTGCTGACTGATTGCTCAGTGTTCAGAAACTACGCAGTATCTAGGCACACTGAGGCGTGGCAGATCCCTGAGGTATTTGGTATTAAGTTTCTGTATTTTATTTCCTTTAGGGTTTCGTTGAATTAAAAAATGCAGCAGAAGATGGCGAGGACAGGAACACAGGAATGCTAAGTTAGTCTTCCTTACTGTATTGTTACGAGGCTGTCTTACACTGACACTGCAGATGATCCAAAAAGCCAGTGCTGTGTTTACTACTGTAACAATGATTCTCTGCCCTACTGTCATTGTGCATAGTCATAATATGAAGTTAAAGAATCCGTATAGGGAGCACAAAACAAAACAAACAAAAAAAGAAACTGTAGTTATTTAAAATTAAGTCCAATTGTGATCTGTAGGCTTGTATACAACGTATTTTTAACATGGTATGAAAAAATAACAGAATTGGAAATTACAGTTGAAACCAAAAGCTGCTTCTGTGAGACAGCTACTTCCCTTTAATACAAAATGCCACTAATTTATTTATGATGTATCTGATCTGTTTTATTACTCTTATTTTTGTACTGGGTGTTTATTTTCCTTGTCCCCATACAATGATTGTTGTACAATATAATAATTATTGTACGATACATTCAGTGCCTACTAGATTAGCATGCCTATGAGCAGTAAGAATATAGCATAGAATCTCAGCAAATTAGTGATGCATTTGTAGCTTTTTGGACCATCCACAATATCAATAAAAACTTCTGTTTACATTCACTTTGTACTATACTCAAAGGATCTACTAGAAAATACTATTAAATATAAAAAAATCAATATCCCCCATGTATGCCTTTCTAATACCATAAACTCCCACAGGAAATAAAACACAGACATTGAATGCAGTGAAGGAACCTTAAGGAGTCTGCCGTTAAAAAAAATCTAGAACAAATAAATGTAGAGTGAACACTGCTGCTCC